ATGCAGGTTTTCAACATTTATAGAGTGACGGTCATAACCAAGGCACCACAAAGGGCTGAAAAGGAATTCTATCAGTCTTAATCTCTCCTTGAGACAAATGACAACCTGCTAAGACAGACAAATTCGACATGTTTCTGAAGCACATACCTGAGCAAACTCCCACCTCCTGGGAAGGGAATACAAATAATAGAGCCAGGCTGCCAATCTGGCTGATGCATGGAGAGAAAGGGCTGGTGCTGGGGTTGTGGTTGGAGGCAGGGACAGCTTCCCCAGGAACCGGTACAGTGCCCTGGACAGAGCGGGGCTGCACGTTTGACAAGAGAATGAATTCTTCTCAAGATCATAAAGCAAGGCAAAGCCCACGCAAATAAACTGGATTTCACAGAGAAGCAATGCCTTAAAGTTCTATATGCCCTGCCCTGGACCACTTCTCTAACTCTGGAAGCATCTGTGGTCACACGGTGTTTTTTGTACCCCACCCAGACTCATGGATTTCTTTCATCCCTTCTCCCCAGGCATTCGCCTGGTGCCCCCTGGTTTGTGGACAGCCTCAGAAGACGCTTGCCCTCCATCCCTTCCCTCCCTGATACACACGTGTCACTCTCACTCACATCAAGGGGTAGAATCAATTTCCCCTGATCTTGCATCCGGCTTAGACTTGTGACCTGCTTTGACCATGGTGACCAGTCTAGCCTCTAAAAAACTCGGGTATTTTCCACGTTCTCTCAGAGACCACCAGGCCTGGGAGGAAGCCCGGGCAGACCACACAAAGAGGTCACTCAGAGGGGCTCCGAGGCTCCAGACATATAAGGCCTTCCTAGAGGGTTCCCACACAGAAGTCCGCTGAATGTCGATGGCTGAACACAACAGTCAAGTGAGTGACCCCAGCCAGTGCCTCGGAAACAGAAAAACTGCCCAGCTGAGCACAGTCAACCCAGAGAATGAGACAGTAAGCTAGCTTGTTGAGATCGTCGCAGCAATGGGTAAGTGAAACACACAGTCCGTGGACACATACGTGTTTGGGAAGGCCACTGAGAAATGGGCCATCCCACGTTGAGTTTCCCAGAGAACCAAAACATCCAAACTTGTTTTTACCCAACTCTGACCAAGAAATGTTTTTACAATGCAATACCGCACCCCATCTTATACAAAATGTAATCTAGTATTTTCTTGATGAGCAGGTCATCCTTGTGCACATCAGTTATACGCAGTCCTGGAATATAACGAAGGCTCCCGTAGCCCCAGAAGCTTGCAGGCTCTTGGTTGCAAGCCCCATTCAACCCCCAGACAGCTGTGCTCCTTGATCCGAGGCGCTATGCCTACCGCTGGAAACACCTTGTCCTCCGCCACATCGCTCCTTTGAAGGATTGAGTTAAGAAACCAAGGATCCTATCCCTACTGGAACTTTATCTCAATAGGTTCTGAGGAAAGATAACTAAGGGGTTCTTTTATGATGGCAGAAGAAAAGGAACTCTGGAATCCCACTGACCTGAGTTTGAATCCTACTCCGCCACCTGCTAGCTATGTGGCCTTGGACAAGTCATGTCACTCATCATGCATTTTAGTTTCCCCATCTGTAAAATGAAAACAATATCTACCTCTTGCTGGGAGCTCCTTGACTGAAACCCAGCAAGAGCTCAGTAAATGAGGGCACCCCGTGTACACTCCATGTTCAGTGGGCCTGGCCCTGAAGGCGGGTGTGACCCCTGAGCACATACATCTGAGCGTTGGTCAGGATCATACCCGTGGAAGCCTACCATCGAGAGTGCATATCAAGAGGGGACAGGGGAGGGGAGGTGGGAGTGGTGGTGGGGGGACATACAAGGTGTACCCACTCACAAGGCGGACCTGGCAGGGAGGCAAGGGGAGACCCCAGCATGGACACTGGTGTCTGATCGGCCCTGCTGCTACCCAGTTACCCACCAGTGGCCCAGCCCCGGGCTCTGGTTTCCTCTCCAGGAAAGCCCACTAATGATAAAGTGCGGATTTAAAATAAACACAAGGGATTGCATACTCATGGCAAAACCTCAGTGAGGCAATGTGGTGAGAGGCAGGGCCGGCCAGCCCCCGCCCCACATGCAGGACAAGGACATACTGGAAAAGCTGTTTCCACATAGAGAAGGATCCAAAAAGGCCACAGAGAAACGTGACCCGGGACGGGATTGAGGGGGTGACTTGCTGCAAAGGTGTTTACATGTTCGATAATTGACTGTTCTTCCACAGTTAGATTTGATGCCTCCCCTCCCCTTCTAGGCCTTTCCTTATTATTCGGATTCCTAAAACCTGCCCACCTGCACACTCTGCGCATTGGGGGGTGGAGGGGGGCGATATGACCGTTTCTTTCCTGCTCTGGGATGGCGGCAGAGGGCCGATCCAGGGTTGGCTTTGCTGCCCCATTTCCTGCACCCCTCTCTTACCTCGATGCCTCTGGTTGCTCAGAACCGCCCCCCGCCCCCGGCCCAGCCTGCTGTCTTCCTGCCCCCACTCCACCCAGCTCCTGTTCCAATTCATCACATTTCATCTCTCACATACTCCTGCCATGGTCCCAACAGGAAAACTCCATCATGGGCTTCTCCCTCCTTGTGGCCAAATCCCAGGGGAAGAAAGAGGGGTGCCTCCTGTGATATTTCTGGGCCCCGCACTTCTTGGCACCTTTGTTCACCACCACTGAGCAGAGACATTTAGGGGCAGCCAGAGAAGCAGGACAGAGGCCCAGAGGCCCACATTCCACAGAAAGGGGCTTTCAGGGAAGCCTCGGGATATGTCCCATCCCATCCCCCTGCACCCACCTTCTCACTCACCAGTGACCCTCCCCAGTTATCTAGCCCCTCCATCAACCCTCATCCTCCCCGAGCCTTGGTTTCCTCATTGGTCAAATGGAGCCAGTAACAATCCAGGATCAAATGGGATGATGTATATAGAACCCTAAACTCCAGCATGCTGATGAAGGCATCTGGAAGCATCAGCCCCTCCCACGATGCCCTTACTGTGGCTGCCTCCAGCCCCTCGAAGCCAAATGTTCATTCACGGGGTGAACGGTCTAGGTCACTGGTCCATGTGATGGGAATTACACATCCACAGCTTTAACATGTTCTAATTTGTAAGTAAAGGTCTTAACAGGCTATTAATTCCAAGAGGAAATTTTGCTTCCAAATAGCCTTTCTGCTATGAAATAAAGCAATAAGGTATTTTGCAAATGTTGTTCCTTGCCCCTAACTTGTCACAGACTCTGCTTTAACAACCCCATCAGATGCTAATAGATTGTGGGAGCATCAAGGGTCTCAGGAATGGCCCACTGGCCTCAGGAACGCTCCCCATCACCTTGGCTGCGTTTTCTGCCCCTCCACCCATCTTCACCCATCAGCTGCTGCCTGGTCCTGCCCTTGACCCCCTCCTGCTCCATCACATCACCCTAAGGACAGTTGGTGGCAGTAGAAGGCAAGCTGTGCCATAAGAGGCCCAGCGGTGCCAGGTGCCAGGACCCAGGACCCAGGACCCAGGACCCAGGCCAGGGGAGGGACGTGGGGAAACCCTGCCAGCAGCAGCTTGCTCCTCCCGGGCCCAGCTCCCCTACACCCCAGTCTCTGGCTGCGATGGTCTGATTCCTGTCATTCCCAGACCCTGCAGGTGAAAGGCCCATACCTATTGCTCAGTCATATTCACTCATTCACTAATAAAGCCCCAGCAACACCCCAATCCCACACCCCACCTGACAGCCGGACTCCACCTGCTCTTCCTGTCGGAACCCCAACCTGCCTGCCTCCCATGAGAAGAGCCAGGGGCAGGCTGGATGGCTTGCTGCTGACAGTCAGGCTACCCTGAGGGTCCCCCCACCATCCCTCTGTCAATCCTCACCCCCCATTAGAACAGAGCATGGGTTTGAGAGAATGAAGGGTGCAGAGAAGGCAGCAGCAACAGAGGCACTCCCAAAGCCCCAAAATCCAGTGTCTGCTTCTAACCATGAAACCTAGTTCACCCCCCACAGGCCCAGGAGGGAATCCTTTGCCCATTACCTGTTGGTTCCAGCCAAGAAAAAGAAAAGGGGAGGCTGCAGGCAAGAGAAAGAAAAGCAAGGGGGTGCTGGGGTCTGGAGTACGTGCCTGGTGTCACCCTAGCTGGGCATCCGACTACCCCAGCCTCACATCCCTGGCCCATCCTACCCTCGATGGTGCTCCCCTCCCAGGAGGTAACATGGGCCCAGAGAAGCTGTGGGCAGGTGAGTGTGGCTTCATTCCACAGCCGGAGGAGACCTGGATGCAGTGTCCTTGCAACACCACACGCACACCTGGGCTGAATTTCCACCACAGCCAGAAATACCGAAGGCAGGGCCTCTGTGACTTAAGGAAAACTTTGCCGAGTGGGCCTGGGAACCCAGGCACCTTTTAAAAAGTCACAGTAGTTCCAAACAAGTGACTCAAACTTCTGGAACACAGCCCACTGAAAGCCGGGGCCTCCTGCATTCTATCCCAGGCTCCCAAACGGACCTCGAGAGCCACCTCCCCCTTCCCCTCCATTCCCAAAACCACATCGAGGGCCCTGCCTCCACGTCAAGGCCATGCTCTCCTGGGATGCTAACATGGTTATCTTCTATTTACTTATTTCTTTTCCTGTTTCCTAATCTTTTTGGGTTTTTGTCTCCTCTTAATAGTACCCACAGGACACCAGCAATCATGAGTTAAGCATCCGGGGCTCCAAAGGAGAGAATTTTTGTTTAGCTCCCTTAGTGGGCAGTGAAGCATACGGGAGACTCATGTGGTCCAGGGGCCCCCCAGCAGAGAGGAAAATGCCAGCAGTGACTGTTCAGTAGAAAGGAATGGTTCAGAGTCGGATCACAGACCCCAAATGCTGCCATGTCCAGCCGCCTGTCTGCCCCAGGCTGCGCTTCCTACTGGTTCCAAGCAGAATGGCTCCTGCCGTTCCTCCCCAGACCGCTCCCAGCAGGGCCCCTCACTGGCAGAAGCATAAGCTAAAGTCCACCAACCCAGAAGTCAAGACGGCAATGGCAGATCGTCACTTTATGTGAACAGGGCGCTGGGAGAAAAACAAAGGAACAACCGTCGGTGTACCCACATGGTCCACATGCACCAGCCCAGGGTTGGACTCCTGCAGAACAAAAGCACAAAGCTTCCTGAGTGAGGACAGTGCATGAGCCAGAATGGAAGAACAGGAAGAATTTTGGTCCACGAACCAGGAAAAAGTTAAAATAGAAAACCTGTGTTTTCCTCTAACCGACTGGGAGGCAATGGGACGAGCCCCACAGGGTTCTTGCATCAACTCCCTACAGCACCGCGGGGCCCTTAGAGACTCAGCCCTCAAGCCCAAAAGACAAGGATGATGGCTTTGGCCGAGATGCAGCCAGCGTCGTGATAAAGTAGGACGGTCGCTAACACTGGAATTGAGAAATGGACACTCCAGGCATGTGACTACCGTACCTGCCTATGTGGCCTTGGGCAGGTCACTTGTCATCTCTGGGCTCACGACTAAAGGAGGCAGCAGACAGGCCACAAGACTGGAATTTCTGAAGCCTGACAAACGCCTCCAGATAGGTTACTGGATGAACGTGGATGCTGAGAATCACATCTCCCAGTCTCTATAGCCCCTCAGCACCTACAGGGTCTTGGCTCCTGGTGGGAGCACAAGGCTCTTAAGCTGAGGGCCAAATTCCATCCCTTCCGGCAAAACACATCCTCAAAGGACCAGTCGACCCTCCCCCGCTGTGGTGAGCACGACTGTCCTCGTTTTGGTCCCCACAGCACACCTCACATCATCTAAGTGCTCCACACCCCCTGAGCTCAAGCAGGATCTAGGGCCATCGCACCTTCGTGTCTCCTAGTGCGTCTTCACCCACAATCCCTCTGACCTTGGCAACTACCACTTAGGCAGACAGACAGACAGTCCCCACTTGACAGAGGGGCACTGTGCCCACACAAGTCAGACAGCTGCTGAAGCTAGCCAATGACAGGCTGGAGACCGCAAGCCAAGGGAGCTCCTTTCCCCACAAGAGGTCTTTCCGGAAGAGATCAAGGGCAGGGACTGGCTGGGACAATGGCCGCCCCGCGACCAGGCCTCGTGGGCCTTCCTGTCGCCCACCTGGGCTGGACACAGGTGACACGGTGGCCCTGAGGTCCGATGTCCTGACATCCTCCACTCCCTCAGGCCCAGCACAGAAAGCTCTAGTGCAAAGCCAGGGGGTTGAGGGAGAAATGGTCTTCCTGCACAAGCAGCTGAGATTCCCAGAGGCACCCCCACCACCCCAACACATGTGGACTCAAGGGCAAAGAAAACAGTGTCATCCCACCCCCGGAAACTGGTGCCATAGCAGAAGAGAGCAGGAAGGGAAGCCCCTGGGTGCGACCCCAGGTGGGACTCACCTCCCTCAGCAAGTGCATGCCCCTCAGCCCGTCCTGCTGCTGCTGGGCCACGGTGACCCCCAAGACGAGCGTGTGCACGACGCAGGAGACCACAGAGATGACCACGATGGCGCTGAGGCTGAGCGGCAGAGTGATGAAGAAGGAGAAGACAAAGAAGGCCTGCCAGCCCACCGTGTCGCTGGCCGCGTGGGCTCGCGCGAAGTTCAGGCCCAGGTAGGAGAAAATCTGGGCCGTTATCAGCAGCCACAGGAGGTAGGGCACCACTTTCCGGGTGACCCGGTCGGGCAGCAGCCCCTCTCTGCAGAGCACGAAGAGGACGATGTCCAACAGCAGCCCCACCGCGGCCACGAGGAGGGGAGCCAGCTTGTCGCTGGAGAAGACCAGGGCGCACATGACCAGCACGTAGCAGTCGAAGAGGGCCGCGAACACCACCAGCACCAGCAGGGTCTCATGGCGCTGCCGTTTGAAGTAGGTCTGGTACAAGTTCTCCAAGGACTCGGGCACGAAGGTCAGCCGCATGAACCGCGGCAGGCAGAGGCAGGATCCCGAGTTCCGGACCGAGATTTCATGGGTCCGGCCCCCGCCGCGGTCAGGGTCAGAGGGCAGGCTGACCGAGTACTCGGCGGAGTACTCGGCCGAGTACTCGGGCTCGGAGAAGCCCTGGTTCCTCGGCATCCCGGCTGCTGTCTGCTTCTACCGGCCCAGGAGAAGTGGACGGGGAACGGGGGGAGGGCTCTGCAATGGGCCACCTACCAGGGCTCTGGGAGAGCTGGCGAGAACCGAGGGCCGGCCACCTCCCGCAGCGACGCAGCGCAGATCTCCAGGGCACAGGTAGCGCGGCTCATCTGGAACTTAGAAGGACCCCGCTGAGTAGAAACACCTCCCGTGCTTCCTGCCTGTCACAGGTTTCTCAGCACCCACCCCACCCCTCCTGACAGGATCGTTGCGCCGCGAGGCTCCAGGACCAGAGCCTTCTCCAGCCACCCCCACGCTCACGCCACCGCCCGACCCCCCTCCCCCCCCACTCGGTCCTGTCCTCGCCAGTTTCCTGTCCCCGCTGGCCGAGAGGCCTGGCCACCTCTCCATCCCTCGCACTCCGGTCCGTCCCTCAGTCCCTGACTTCCTCACCTAAAACGCCGCCAGGCCCAAGCCTTAGAAGCTGGAGATAAAACGTGCCCGAGAGCAGCCAGAACCATCCCGGGGATTCCTGAATCTTCCTTCTGTTTACTTCCTTTTCCCACCCAACCCTTGGCGGCTCGGGCTCTCCACCTCGGGGCACTACCTGCCCTCCGGAAGGCTGGCCTGCCCCAGCGTTTACCTGTGCGGGAACTCGGGAGCCGCGTGGTCCGGGCCGGTCCCTGCGCGGGCTGCGGGGCTGGGTCACGCGTGTGGCGGGCGGGGGGCAGGAGGGCTCAGCG